AAAGTTTCTCAATCTTCAGAGGATGACAGCTGGCTTAGACTTGACAGCTATCGCAGGACATTTTAGAAAATCATTCACCCATTGCTGCATGGCAATTGAATCCCTGTTTTCTGTATTGAAATGTAAATAAGCTTAAGTGAAGCATTAATGAAACTGCCACTAAAGAGGAGAGGTGAGATCAACGGCTCTGATCTGGAAAGGGCATGTGGGCTGAAGACAACCGGGATCAGTGTCCAACTGCACAAACGCACCCCAGCACTTACCCTTTCTCCCGCCAGCATCTCAGTTTTCATTCTTGCTGGAGCCCTGCATCCTATTTGGCATCTCGTCTTTGCCTTCCTGTTTTGATAAGCAGAATGTAGCAACCCTCAAAGAGCACCCTGTGCGCAGAGCTGGCAGAGTGCCAGAGGCACGAGCCAAACTGGGAACGCTATTTCTGGACTTGTTCAAATGTCTGTATACAATTAAATATTTTGATACGTGGCTGCAGTTTCTGGTTATTTTGCACAGTGAATTTCCAAGATCACTAGCATCATTCAGTCTCTTATCCATCAGTAAGCAACACAGTTTTAGCTGATGCTTGATTTTAGGACAGAAAAGCATTAATGGTGTAACATTTCAGATGTCAGTTCAGTACAGTTTGGAACTTAATATTTTGATGGGAAGAAGGATGACTCAGGAAAAAGGATGTTTGTCAGCAACACACATTCAGTTCCTTACTTCACCACAGACCCCCTTTGTAACCTGCAATTCAGGCAATTACCCAGCCTAAACTCCCATCTTTGCTTCCCTTTTGCTACTTGCTGGCTCTGAGACTTCATCAAGTACTACATTTAAAGACTTGGCAGAATTTAGCTTCTAAAAACACAGGCCTTCATTCCTTGTAAAATGGGGACAATATTCTTTTCCTAGTCTACTAAGGGCTGAAAGAATGAATGTGAAAAAAACAAAGAGATGGTTAGAAGCTACAGTGATGGGGACTATTTAAGCACAACCCAGAAGAAACAGCAAGTTGGCGTTTCCCTTTGGTACATGACAATGAACGTCCTAGTAAAAGTCACCGAGAACAGCAAGATACTCTTTATGAGCACTTGAAAGTGCCCTGTAAAATTGTAGCTCAGCACCCTAAAGGTATTTTGGGCACCTGTGAATTACCATTTACAGCACAAGAGCCATATGCAGAAGTAGTCTATACACATAATGTGGGAGAACATCTGGAGAATGCTCTGAAGCAGCAATAACATGGGTAAGAGGATCCCTCTTAATTACCAGGTCTCCAAAACACAAAGGGGGAGAAGGTAAAATATTTGCCTCTAAAGAACACACAAAGAACCAACAAAAAAAGTAAAATAATGCATATAGAAAAACCCAATGGGTGAAGTGCTTTCTTTACCAATCCATGCAGCTCAGAACCAAGGTAACTGCTCTCATGACTTTACGAGAGGATGAGAAGTCTGAGAACGTACCTCTGAGGCATCTTTTATCCCCTCTATTCTTCAGGCCATTCCCTGGCCAGACTGTCCCTAGGAAAATTTAGACCAACCTTAAGAGTTTCTCAGCTGACACTGTTATAGCCTTGAAACATCTTGGCATCCTGAAATTGCTACGGCATACTGCTGTCCTAATCACTTTGAGTAACTCCATCCATGACATCAGCGTGAACAGGAGGTACACAAAATTGCCATTTCAGTGTTTATACAGCACTGAGAATTACTTAAAGGCAGAGAAGTCAACGAACCGTAGAAAATGACTCGGGCATTGCCTGCAGTTCCATCGACATCATTATTCCCTCAGCACACACATAAGCAGCAACGTAGAATTATTCCTCGTAATTGAAATTGTTTTTTGCTATGATTTGAAAGTATGACCATTCACCCCATACAGCTGCGGACTGCCATCAAACAAGGTAATGCTTGTGCTTATGAGAAACAGGACATTACAAAAGCGTGTTGCAAAACTGCAAAGTGGCTTCTGTCCCCACATGACTCCTGTTTATTGCTGACCACATGAAACTCAGAGTGAGCCAAAGAGGAAAATACTCGATCACTGCAGCAGCAATCTTTCGTTTCCTAAAGATTGGCCTGGTAAGATTACCTCAAGATAAAGAAAGCATGCAACACATTAACTGGGCATTTCAATGTGTATGCGTGTCACTACAACCGTGCAGTGAAGCTGCTGGCCTGAAAAGTGGTCCTGCACACTCCTTTGGTAGTGATTACAGCTGTGACATTAGGCACAATTGCTTGGTTCCCCTTTACCCATAGCCTACCATGAGTTTTTTTTTTCCTATCTGCTAGAAAGGAAAAAAAAAAAAAAAGATAGACTTAAGGTGAGATTCAGGCAAGAGAGAGGCCTTTCAGCCACCCAGAACACAGGAAACGGCAACAGCAAAACCCGAGACACGTGGAGCATAACCCAGGAGGATGCAGCAGTGGACACAAAAGCTGAGAAGAAGAATCAGCAAAGTGGCAGCTGCTTGCCTCTACTTAAAGCTTTGGCCATTCAATCACATTGACTGCAATGCTAGGGGAAGAAGATCAGTATTCTTGTCTTTCTTAAAAGCTGAGATGGCAGCAAACAGCAGCACCTGTCACAGGAAGCAACTACACCTGGAGGTGAAATTCTAAGGGAAAGGCTCTAGATAAGCTAATCCAGTGCTCAGAAGCACCTGTAACTTTTTCACCACTCATTAGAGCAAACCTTTGCCTCACAAGGCAGTCACTGTGACCCTGGCACTACGCTAACAACAAAATGCTAGGGCAGATCAGATATGTTCAGCTTTGTCCTATTTAACCCTGATCCCAAGCCAGCCTATGTGACAGTTTACTCTTTCTCACAACAGTTCTGAAAAATATGCACACAGTCCCTAGCCAGGGGTAGGACACTGCACTTTGCTAGGTCGAAATGCCTTCAATTCAGGGGTGTGCTCGGGTAGTACCCTCCCTGCCCTGCTCTCTAGGAGTATATGGTGTTTGCAGCTGTACTCACATGGTGCACAGGAAGGTTTTGTTAACCAAATTGCACAAGTAGTCCTTTCCTCTGGAAGAAAATGTTAACCACAGTCTTCTCTGCAATTAGCTCAAGCCCTGCCTCCTGACTTCCCTCACTACACATAAACAAAACACAGTTAACTGCATTCAGTGGTCTTTTGAAAAACATACTGATAACTCCTATCCCACCTCCGCCTTTTGCAGTGGGGTAAACTGGAGAACTGACAGTTCTCCAAAGCCTCTCCATCCTGTCGCATAAAAGGACCAAACAAGTTGCCCTGGAAAAGAGTTAGCTCACCGCAGCACAGAGGACCCCCTGATAGGTCCTCCCAAGCTATAGCAACCCATATAGAGTGGGTGACAGAAGCGAGGACAGAGTAATCGCTGTTTACTTTTGCAGTGTGATTGCTCATGCCTGAGCCAAGCTACTACTGGTGCTCACATCTGGGGCCAGTCATGCAATTCAACTCCATAGGGAATACTGGGAAAAAAGCAAAGTTAAGTCATCACTTGACAAAAGTTCCCAGAGGCAGAAGTGTTTTATAACTATGCAGAAGTGAAGGTGATGACAGAAGACAAAAAAATCTGACAATTGCAGGCAGCCAACGTGAAGTGTGTTCTCTCTCTCATGCAATGTTACTGGTCCCTTTTTCCCAAGCAAATGAGCGGTAACGAGGTTAGTGGGGCTAAAACCATCTATATTAACAACACCCAGGGAAAAACGCATTTCTAAAGAGCTCCAGCGAGTATTTGAGGGGAAGAAGATGCTTTGAGCCAGAGCCATACCTTCATGCAGCTCTGAGCGCTACCGCAAATCCGATGAGGCCTCCACTGCCGCCTCTACTCACAGGTGTTTCCCAGGGGTGCTAGGAAAGCAGCATGTACCTTACACCCTATGCTTTTTGGTCCATTTCATGCATTATTCAGCTCTATTTTGTGATGCAGGATGGGACTGAGAGAAAACAGAAAGTCTCTTACCTGAGACTACTTCTCACTGAAATATATTGTATCAGGTGTGCCATAAGCCACTTGACATCTCATACAGCACTCGGAATATAAGAACACTAAATAAAACTATTTCTATTTTCTCTATATAAACATGTGAATGCCAGAACAGAACCACTTGTTTTCAGTGCCTCTATCACCCAGGAAGCCAGGCTGAGTGTCTTAAGGGAGGAAGGATTAAGTTCCTCTAAAGTATTTAGGCACCTGAGGACACAGACATGTACCTTGCTGGATTTTTGAGAGTATTGCAGTGAGCTAGGCACCAGCTTCCTGTTAATTTCAAATGAGATGCATGTAAGCTTAAATACATAAATGAATGAATAATAAAAAACCCAACTGATATAGACATACACTGAGACTACAAAGATAATCTTTCTGTGAGTGTTTGGAAAACACACAAAGAGACCCCCTCCCAAGTTTTCATAACGTAAAACTAATTTTCAATGCAGTAATGAACATCATAAACCTGTACTGCAACTTTAAGCTACAAGAATCCAGTTTATGAAAGCTCTGATCACGTCATGCCTGTGTGTAAGAAAGCTTATATTCTCAGTATCAGCTGCAAAGAAAGCCACAAGCCCTTTTGTACCAACTACTCTGTTCAGTGTACAGGAAAACCATATACACATGAAGTAACTGGACGGTAATCTAACCACAAATAAAACCTGGAAAAATGAGATCCTCGGTGAAATGCTTCCCATTTTACAGAAAAAACTTGCTAAATATCACAGACTCCACTGCCCTTTCTGCAGCGCTAGTTTCACAGAAACCCACCTGCTTTACGTTTCGTGTTGGTCTACTAAGGTACAAAACCCAGAACCAGCAAAAAATAATGTAAGTTTTCTCAGGAATTGGGGAGTGGGGAGTTGTTTTTTTTTTCTTTTTTTTTTTTTTTATTACAGACACTAAGGCTCTTTGCAGCTGCTAAAGAGAAAATAAGCAACTTAGCACCTCAAAGCAAAGGCATTCTCCTAATTACTGAAATAAATCAAATACCACATTTACCTTAAAGAAACTTCCTCTTTTGTCCAGACAACGGGCTTCCATTGTCAAAGACGACATCTTCCCTGGGAAGACTCCACTGAATGTCTTGAACTCCTAAAAGTAGAAACATTTTTAATGGTTAGTCCAGTCTGTAGGAAATGCCTTTCTAAGCCACAGAAACAGTCACAACAAGCCTTCTGCCAAGATCTTTTTCCGTCAACAACACAGTGCCATTTATTTCTTACCAAAGCCCTTATATATCCTTTTAGTCTATTTTCCTATAAATTGCTTCAGAAAGACAGTGCTTGCAGTTCCATGTTTCCCCCTTCTCCTCACAACCAATCCTGTAGCTCCAAGTGGATTTTAATGTGCTCATTAAGAAAGAATGCTAAAACATAACGATTGCTTTGTTTGTTTGCTTGACCTCAGCCTGAAGGACAAACAGAACAAATGTTAGATGTCACCGCAATCCGCTTTCAAAGGTTACAGTTTTAATGGGGCCGTTTTAATGGGCCCCACTGCGAGGGGAAAAAATATCACTCACACGGGAGAAAACACATGATCATAAACGTAAAAAAAGAAAAAAAAATCCTTGAAGTTATTAAGATACAATTAACTCAGAGTCGTGTCCAAGAGGCAAACCGAAGATGCAATAGGGAAGCAGCAGCATCTTCCATTGACGGGTGAACTGACCACACTGATCAATATCCAGAAGAGCATAAGGGCGTGCAACTAGCCCATACGCGGGTAACGAGAAATATCCTTTTGGTGGTCTCAAAGGGCACGTAGCTGATGAGCAGAATTCCTCTAGAGTCATCACCAGTTCACCTCAGTAATCTGTGCACAAATTTCCAACCTAGCTGTGGAGCTCAGCTCCTGTTTCAGAATAACTTCCCAGATGGCCAACACCGAGCTTTTAATTGCCTTGAAAGAGCCTCCTCTTCTCCTCCCTCACACATTTAGTGACAATATAGCAGGTATTTCCATTGGAAGCCCCAGCTAACTAAATGACAAGTATCGCGAGTGCAATACATTGTAGGCTAAGGTAGAGGCACAGCTTTTGATGTGATACACATGTAAATGAAGATAAAAAAGGCAGGGAGTAGCAGCGACGACGAACAAGCTTACAAGGGCTGCAGACGAAGTGTGAGCAAAACGACCAGCTGAAGCAATGAATTTTGACAGTTAAAATAAAGCATAATAAAAAAAGGAGATCCCCCTCCATTCCTATTTCCCTCTAATGCATTATGAGAAGGCACCAACAAGAGTAAATAGGACCAAGGAGGAGCTTAAAAAGAAGGGAGGGGGAGGTCATTGAAAAGTCCTTGCAAGCTACAAGCACTGAAAAAGGGTGAGAGGTAAAAGCAGGAGAAAAATATTTTCTCTCGGTTTTAACATGTAGCAGGAAGCTTAAAATTCCTTTGCCCCATTTCTAGAGCTCAGATCACCACAGCACTAGAAAAGGTTACATTTTTTCACTTTCGGGTTCCAGTTAAAAAGCAGCCGTGCCGGGAAGCTCATGAAGCAGCCTGCTTTCCAGGCGGAGTTTGCAGGCTTTAAAGGTGCAAGGAAAAATCCTGGATTCTGCATTCTCGTGCAAAGCAAAACACAGCAGGATGGCCCAGAGAAGCCAAAAAGCAGCGCTCAAAATGTTAATTTCTTTTTTAATCAGCACATATAAAGGAACAAACTCCTGACGAAGCACTTAAGCATTGTAATCTTGGTCACTTTATTTAAAGTCTGTCTAAATGACTTGACCAAGACAATCCTGGAAGAGGCTGAAGTCCAGGGAAGTGGGTGGGTTTGCAGGTGCTACTAGATGGGTTGAGGCCTGTGCCTTCGTTTGCCACCTGCAAAACAGCACTAAGGAAAGCTGGGAACGGAACAGTTCTTCCACCCTGGGGAACATCAGACATTTTAAAGGCTCCTCCCGTTCAATATCAACCATCCAAAAAAATTCAAAGCTTGGCAGAGTTTTTAATTACCAAGTGGAAATGATTTCTTTTGATTAATTCTAAAAAGGGAATTTTCACATGAAAGGCCAAAGGTGAAGGGAAATCAAAGAAATCCCTTTCTGTTTTCATCAAGACTCCTGTCTTCTAGCTTTCAAAGCATCCTTTCAAAGACCCATCAACTGAGCCAAAGAGCTGGGAGCCCCAAATACCCAGGCTCCTCAGAAGCCGTTTAGCTGGGCTGCTGAGCAGCTGGTAAAGCAAATGGCTTCCCATTAAAGGGGAGGTACTTTGCCAAAAACTAAACGTTTCCTACAAAACATCTTGACTTTAAGTCACAGAACGGTTGAGGTTGGAAGGGACCTCTGGAGATCATCTAGTCCAACCCCCTGCTCAAGCAGGTTCCTCTAGAGCACATTGCACAGGCAGGTTTTGAATATCTCCAGGGAAGAAGACTCCACCAACTCTCTGGGCAACCTGTGCCAGTGCTCTGTCACCCTCACAGTCAAGAAGTTTTTCCTCATGGTCAGACAGAACTTCCTGTGCCCGTTGCCTCTTGTCCTGTCACTGGGCACCACGGAGAAGAGTCTGGCCCCATCCTCTTGACACCCTCCCTTCAGATACTTGAACACGTTGATCAGATCGCCTCTCCGTCTTCTCTTCTCCAGGCTCAACAGGCCCAGCTCTCGCAGCCTTTCTCCAGAGAAGAGATGCTCCAGTCCCCTAATCCTCTTTGTAGCCCTCCACTGGACTCTCCCCAGTAGGGCCATGTCTCTCTTGTACTGGGGAGCCCAGAACTGCACACAGTACTCCAGGGGAGGCCTCACCAGGGCTGAGCAGAGGGGCAGGATCACCTCCCTCCACCTGCTGGCAACACTCTGCCTAATGCACCCCAGGAGACCATTGGCCTTCTTGGCCACAAGGGCACATTGCCGGCACATGGTCAACTTGTTGTCCACCAGCACTCCCAGGTCCTTCTCTGCAGAGCTGCTTTCCAGCAGGTCAACCCCCAGCCTGTACTGCTGCATGGGTCTTGCACCTAGGGAGGAATAACCCCATACACATGCCTTTGTGGAACTCCATGAGGTTCCTCTCCGCCCAGCTCTCCAGCCTGTCCAGGTCCCTCTGAATGGCAGCACAGCCCTCTGGTGTATTAGCCTCTCCCCCCAGTTTAGTATCAACAGCAAACTTGCTGAGGGTGCACTCTGTCCCTTCCTCCAGGTCATTGATGAATAAGCTGAACAAGACTGGACCCAGGACTGACCCCTGCGGGACACCACTAGCTACAGGCCTCCAATGAGACTCTGCGTCACTGACCCCAACCCTAAATTATTTGCAATAACCATCACGTTTGCAATAACCAACTAAAACTCCCCAAACTATTTGATCAGAGTTTTTCTGATCAGTTCTCAAGAATTTCTATATCTTTCCTCCTCCGTCAGTACCCTACTAAGTAGCTGTACAGGGAAATCATCCTCTTCTTACCGCCCCAGCCTCCTGCCATTCTGAACTTTTTTGGTTTGTGGTCTGGGACCCCCACAGAATAAAAATTCTGGCACTAAATTCACAAGTTCATCCTGATTAGGAAGCTTAGATGGCAAGCAACTCAGTTCTGTGAATCTCACTCCCACCCACACCGATGGCTCACTCATATGCCGCTAGTTGCTCTGACACAAATCGCCTCACCACCACCATGTAGCTGCACATGTTCTCCACCATCTGTGCAACCGGCTGCCATCGCCACCTGCCTTGAACAAAAGAATGAGGCAAGTGCTGTAAAATAGATTAGACTGGTGAATCCAACAAGGTTTCATAATTACCTCCTAAGACTCCCCCTTCATTTTCTCTCTGCATACTTCCAACCTCCAAAGTCAGAATTACAGAATGGTTGAGGTCAGCAGGGACCTCTGGAGACCATCTGGTCCAACTCCCCTCTGCTCAAAGCAGGGCCTACTACAGCAGGTTGCCCAGGACTCCACAACCTGTGCCAGCGTCAACCACCTTCACAGTAAAAAAGGGTTCTTATGTTCAAAAGGAATCTCCTCTATTTCAATGTGTGGCCCTTGCCTCTTGTCCTGTCACTGGATGCCACTGAGAAGAGCCTAGCTCCATCTTCCTTACTCCTGCCCATCAAGTATTCATGCACATTAGTAAGATCCCCCGAGCCTTCCCTTCTCCAGGCTGAACAATCCCAACTCTCCCTGCCTCTCCTAGTACGTCAGGTGCTCCAATCCCTTGATCATCCTTGCGGCCCTTTGCAGGACTCTCTCCAGTATGTCCATGTTTCTCTTGTGCTGGGGAGCCTAGCACTGGACACAGCACTCCAGATGCGGCCTCACCAGGGCTGAATAGAGGGCAAGGATCACCTCCCCCGACCTGCTGGTAACACTCTTCCTAACACAGCCCAGGACACTGCTGGTGTTCCTTGCTGCAAAGGCACGCTGCAGGATCATGTTCAACTTGTTATCCACCAGGACACCCAGATCCATCTCTGCAAAGATGCTTTCTAACCGGTTCTCTCTCAACTTGTACTGGTGCATAGGGTTATTCCTCCCCAGAGCAGGACTCTGCACTTCCCTTTCTTGAACTTCACAAGATCCTTTTCAGCCCATTTCTCCAGCCTGTCAAGGTCCCCTTGAATGGCAGCGCAACCATCCTCCAAATTTTGTATTGGCTACAAACTTGCTGAGGGTCCCATCACGCTTGCTTTCATCATACCGGTCATTAGTGAAGGTGTCGAACTGCAGTGGTCCCAGTATCAAAGCCTAGGATATACACTAGTGACTGGCCTCCCGCTGGATTTTGTGCTGCTCAGTCAAAACCGTCCAAGCCCAACAGTTCGGCCAGTTTGCACTCGACTTCACCTATCTAGTCCACACTTCAACACTTTGTCAGTGAGGATTGTATGGGAGACAGTATTGAAAGCCTTGCTAAAGTAGAGAAAGACAACATCCCTGCTCTCCCCTCGTCCACTGATCTAGCCATTCTGTCACAGAAGGCTATCAGGTTGGTTAGGAATGGTTTCCCCTTCGTAAATCCATGCTGGCTACTCCCAATCACTTTTTTGTCCTTCATGTTTCAAAATGGTTTCCAAGATTATATGTTCCAACATCAGAGAATGAGGTGAAGCCAACAGTCCTGTACTTCCCTGGATCCTCTTTC